TGACATCTTACCAAAGCCACTAAAGGACTGAAATAAGGGTACTAACTGGTTAAGGCTACAGTTCATGCCAATAGGGACTTAACTCCCAAAGATCAATACCTAATTACACAGCAACACTGCATTCTAGCAATGCAAATTTTTCTTGTGCGAGTATTTAATCTCTCAAAATATTTGCAGGACTATAAATCTTATTAGAAAGACTAGGAATTCTTTCATGATTATTTTAAGTGCAGAATGTATGCCGATTTTATTGTAATTAAAAACTAGTCCTTGCTTTGCTCGATGTTTCCACAGACCCTTTCCATGGTTATCACAGAACTTCACCTTAAAATAACAAACACATTAATCTGTCATTTGCAATCAATGAATTTCAAAGCAGTGGGATATTTCAGGAAGAACATTCTTCAGAAAAAGTATTCAGTACTACACTAAAATAATTCAGTTAGTCAGCAAAGCTGTTGATGAGCACTCCCAAACCTTACCTCAGTTTTCATGACAGATGCTGGTTGGATTAGACCCTCAAGAATAAGAGAGTCTCCTCCAAACAGCAAATTGGGACTAATTAATCCAACTACCTCTATACGGTGCAGTGTCTCTTCAGTCTCTTTATCACCATACCATCAATTAATTACCCTGGCACTCCGTAGAAGGATTATGTAGACAAAATACATTAAAAAAAAAAAGGTGAAATTCAGCTATCTTGCTATACCTTCCTGTCTCCAAGAAAAATCCCTTCTCCAAAAATACCGGTAAGTGGATTCATTCTAAGAGTCGGTCATAATTCCACCTGCCTTTCAGGCTTAATTGATTAACTAGATGGCCTTTCTGATCCCTTTAAAACCTTAGTGATACATTTCACCAACACCTCCTTGCTCACTAGATGTAACAGATTTTCGCGCTGTACCAGCACAGCGGCTCTCCCAGCCCCAACTCCTCTGTGCTTTACACAAAAGCCACCAGCATGAGCGGCCCTCAGCTTCTGCCCGACGCGCTGCTCTGTGCTCCTGTGCAGGGAAGGAGGAGGACAGCTGTTCATTACAGCAGCTGCTTTCACCACCGCGGTGACCTGAACAGAGGCTTCCAAAGGGAAGATGCTGCAGAAATGAAAACTAAGGATATTTTTAGAGGCTTTTGATGATAGCTCAAGCAAAATCACAAAACAAACGCTAAGTTTCCCCCAAATCTTAATTCTTTAGCAACAAAACTGAGTTTTTGTTGCTAAAGAATAACCAGGCGTGAAAATTAAGAGAAACGCATTTAAAAGACTATGGGGAATCTATGCCCCTTGTGCAAATCCTAGACACAACTGCAGAAAGCTGCTCTGTAATTCCAATTTTCAATAGTGCATGTGAAGACTGAGCACATTCATGATCCCTCTTGTTCACAGCACACAAATCATGAAGCCAAAGAGCAATAATCTGTAATCTTTACTACCGGACTGCAATTGAAAGGAGTAGGTCCAGCTACCATTTTAAGAAACTCATCAGAAAGCCAGTCCTCTCAAATCCTTCCAGTGATTAAAAAAAAAAGTCTTTACTTTACTTGAGATTTAAATAAATTAAAATTTTATTCAAAAAATGTAATAATCATTAAAAAATTCTACTGAATCTCTCAAGCACAGAATGTCCTAGACACTTTCTAAAACTCAGTGCCAAAAGACTAGTATCAAAGAAACCTCACCAACATGAGAGCTCACTTTTCTTCAAAGCTTGTCTTAAATTGCCTTACAAATTATATGGAATATTATTTACAGTCCCTGAATTATTTCGTAATGCTCTTAGTGCATCTATTCTCTCTCTTCCCCCCGGCACTGCCAACAAAAGTTCAGAATCAAAATCTGCATGATGTAGCCTTGGAGAAAATATCTCATCTCTCAGCAAACAATCTTTGCCTTTAGCTTTCTTAGCTGTCCTCCAGTCAGATTTTCTAATGAACTTCATGGAACTCTGAGAACTGGGATCAGAAGCAGCACCAAGACACCTAATTACAGGTTTATTCCTTGAGCAAGAGTTAACACTGGGTTAGTTGGCAGATCCCTTCTACATTCCCACAGGGGAGTAAAAGGACCTAAACAACAACAGATGCACACTTTAAGGGATGCTTCAAAATGACTATTCATAAGGTGACTCCTATGCTTTCTCACATACCCCAGAGTCAAATGAAAGGCAGAGGAAGTAATGACAAGATCTAAAATCACAAGACACTCTGTACATATGAAAAATTTGAGAGTGAAGTCATGGATCAAAGAAAAGGGATGTGTAGTAATTAAAAAAAAAGGCAAGTAATAAATTCAAATGGAGATGGAATAAAAAACAGAAAATGTTAAATAGACATGAGCCATTTCAGGAGCAATTTGGTCTCTAAGGATAAATGAGGGTAGAAGCTGTGAATAATTCTACCATCTACTGCCCAAATTTTAAGCTATGCAGTGGAAGGTGAGCTTCCAAAAGGAACAGAATACTTAAAGAGACTGGAAGATTACTCATTTCAAAGGAAGCCGTTGGCTGAATACTGCTTGCATAACAGTGTTATGTGATAAGAAGAAAAAAGTAGGTAGAAAGGAGCACACAACATAAATGCAGGGAAGAAGCACAAAAATAGTATTTGTCATTGGAAAAAAGAATCACTGTATAAACAGAAGTTAAATTTTAGTAGGCAGATGAAGAAATCTACGTGCCCAGAAAAACAGCACATTATCAGAAGCAACACCCGCACTGAGAAAAATCAAGATAACATTCTGCAGCAGCAAAAAGAGGTAGGCTACCACAACAGAGAACACTCTGTGCAGTCTGGAAAGAACCAGGCTAATATTGGCCCAGAACATCATTGCATTAGAATGACCTGAGAACTAAAAAAAGATTCATTTCTCAAGCGCTTCCCTGACCAAAGGAGAGTGGCTGAAGGGGGCCAAGGAGAGATTGGAGAGAGAGATTCTAAAAAGAAAAAGAAAAAGAAAACACAGGGAAAGCAGCTGCTGCCAGTGCCCTGCAAGAGGAGAGAGGCAGCATCCAGGAAAGAGCAGGAGGGCACCCTGGAAACTCTGCTGCAGGTGATGTTCACTGCAGAACCGTCTGCGTGCCATAAAGGTGGCTTTTCTGATTTCTTTCTGTGCCAGAAGCTCCCCAGAGTCGGCTACGGCTGAAGGCTCAGCTGGCAGCTCTGGCTTATGGGGGTTTAAGTCTAAGGCTTCACCTTCGGGCTGACACCTTGGTGCCTGCGGCTTTACAGAAGCCACCGAGGGAAGGAAAAAACAGAAACAAATATGCTATGAAAAGTTGTATTTATTTTTAAAGAAGGGATAAATGCAGCTGAATATTGGAAATTACAGCAAGCCTCTCCCTGTAGCAGCAAAGAAAAATTAAAATGGGTGACAGATCACACAGAAGAAATGGGCACCCTAAGAAAGGGTCACCAGGCCCTAACAGGCACCTGCAGCCCAAACGTAGCACCTGGATCCGGCTTTTCTCCCCACAGCCACCCTACAACCAATCCATGAGGTACCACTGCATCTTCCTGTCAAGTGGGGCACTTCTTACCCGTACTCTCCTCTTCCCCTATTTCCCAGCTACAACTTTGTTTTCACTACCTTGGTCTCAGGGAGTCCCATTCACAGATATATTCCCATACACTTATTCTCACAGAGAATCACATCTTGACTTTAGCACTTGGGTCTTTTCCACAAAAAAGGTTTTACTATTCTTTACAGCCTTCCTGAGCCCAAATACACAAGTGAGTGAAAGCCCAAATAAGGCTCCCATAAAAATTACTCCTGCTGGGAATTTAAAATGTTACACGAGTCTTTTCGTCCAAAAAAGAGGAACTAGAGCTGTTTGGATTGCATTCAAGCAAGTGTTTTCAACAACAGATATGCCTTTTAGACTTGAGCAAGAATTTCCATTAGAAAAGATCCAGTGTTATTTTTCCTGATTTTTTGATGCATAAGGACCACTTGGAAGTAAAGGTTTTTGATAATCTAACTAAAGCAGAATCAAAGTATTCAGCTAGAAATTAAAAGATTTTTCTCCAAATTGATTTTTTTTTTAAGTACGTGCATACTTTCTTGCAGACCAGTCACCACCTGTGTTTGTAACCTGTTTCATAATTCTCTACTTGTGTCTAGGCCAGTTATCAAGACCAAACAAAGGAGAAGAGAATTCACCTGGCCCAAGCTCAAAAGTTTCTTAGAAGCAAGGGCATTTTGGTCATGCGCTTTGCTTGTCTCTGCTGCTGACACAGAAAGGGGAGCCAGTGACCTGGCTCATAACGCACTGGCATCCAAGAAGTGCCAAAATGCAAAGATCACTTTCCTGAAAGCAGCTGATGGGAAAGAAACAGGATTTCTTCACATCAGCTCTCAGAGTTACAAGGTCTGAGCTGCTCTGAAGGACCTGGAGGACGACGAGCTGACCAAGAGCCAGCACTGTGTTCTGGTGGCCGAGAAGAGGAAGGCAGGGGTAGAAGGATGGAGACAACTTGTATTAAAAGAAGCATAAATGGGAGGAAGGATTTAACATGAAAAGACCAACACTGCAGAAAGTAAGTTAACATTTTCACCTCCTTGACAGTTTTGGATCACTGCTAGATGTTTAGATGTTACATTCAAGATTAGCTGGCCAGAGACAGGCACATTTTCAGCAAACTGGATCCTCCAAAAGTATGACTAAAAATATGAATATTCTGATTGATCAGAAGGAGTAAGTTTCCCCTGTTATCTTCATATTTTAGATCTTTTCTCTATCATACAAACACATATTTACTGAAAGGACTTTTTTTCCTCACTCTAAATGTGGCAGGGGGGTGTTTTTTTGTTTTTTATTTTAAAATTTCTGAATATAAACAACAACACATATAAAAGAGAACATGTAAATAAAGCCTAATAGCAGACCATGGATACACTCAAAGTTCTTAAACTCCCTTAAAAATTTTAATATAAGACTTAATAATTTTATTACTACTGTGACTGCTGAGTTACAGCAGTAAAAGCTAATCTCTTACCAAGTACGACATCCAGGAAGAGGCAGGAAGCTGAAGCCATCAGTGTCTACAGGTTCAGGCAGTTTGCAGTCAAGTTTTGCACAATTTTGGATATGCCCTGAGGGAAAATGGATACGGAGGCCCAGTCAGCAGGCCTCTGAACCTTGATGGGAATACTGAGTTGCCTGGTATTAGGGCGTGAGAGAACATGATCAAGGGAAAGACTAGAAGTCACTAGAATAGTGAACACAATGTGTGCAGGACATATATACATGGATACTCAGATTAGTAAGTTAGCAACCCCTGCTTAAATTTGCAAAATTCAAGGAGATTTTGAATCACTTAGTGACTATTTGGACACTTTAATGAGCAGTAAATCAGATGTGAACAATGACCTTTCAGATACCATGAGTGTGAACTATATTGCTAGCCAGGATGCTAGAGAATGGAGGAAAACTTATTTTAGTAGCTCTTCCATAGCAAGTAACGGGACAAAAAAAAAAGGTGGTTCAACAGTTTTAAGAAGTCTGGAACACATTCTGTGGAACCCAACTCAGTGTCAAGTTGGGCACTTTAAAGCTGGGGTTTCAGGAGTAACTGAGGCAATTTAAGAGCTCCCTAGAGCCAGAAGGGGATGGCTGTTTCCATGCCTCCAGTTCTTTGCCCTCCTCTCCTGGCCACAGCGTCCCTCCTTCGCAGTGACTCTAGGCTTTACTACATCCTTTACAAACCACTGACTCACTACAACAACACGCAGAAATTACACAGCCTTTTTATTGCTTTTAAGCGAGCTCAAATGACACACAGGCATCTTCACTGGTGCATGGCAAAGTAGAGATAAGCAAAAACCCGGGGATGGCAGCAGGGACACCCTCCTTCAATGTCAACATGAGTGTTCAAGCAGTTTGCCCTCATGGCAGACTCATGACAACAGTCTGATGTAACCCAACCTCATGGAGCCAACCGCAATGTGTGTGTTTCTCAGGCTTCAGTTAACCAACATGTACAGTTACCTGATTGTCTGTGTGTGTATGTTTGTGTGTGTATACATACACACACATATATATGTTTGTTATTGGTTTTTCTAAGTTGAGGGCAGCTCACTTGAACATTGCACTTGTATCCGTCAATCCCAGTGCGTTTGTACCCTTCCTAAACTTTCTCCCCCCGAACCTCACACGCTCCTGCACTATTATTGTCAGCTTGGAGTCTCAGGACTCATCAGCACAGGTACAGAAAAACGTTGCAGTTTCAGCTCTGCATTCCCCCAAATCTGCCTCATTTAGCTTTATTATTATTATCTGGGATACTTCTGCTTCTTATTACTATGCAGCAGAGAAACAGCCACTCACAGGAGTGTTCAACAGAGAAAACAAGCATGTGTGACAGAAGTGGTCTAAAACACAGGCTATGTGTTCATAAAAAAAAAAATCTCATTCAGCAAGGACAAGAGGGTCTGACCTCTCAAAAACCTGGACAGAAGCAAATGCCTTATGAAAAGACAACCTCAATTGAAAAGTTCAGCTCAAGTTCATATTCTGAAGTTGTTGTTTACATTTCCAGTAAAATCAAACAGTTGTAAATTTTAACTGTAGACTCTGTACATAAATTCTTTGCATGGAAGGTGGTAAACATTTAAATTCAAAGGTAAAGAACACTGGCCATTAAGAAAAGCTCACAGACATAAACACATGTCCAAAAGCATAAGCTCTTGGGCCCCCTTTCTAGCAGTGTTGTGATTATTTAGTGAGACTTCAGTTACACCAGGTCAAAAATAAGAACAGCCTTTCTAAAGGCAGACATCCACTGTAACCCAAGTTCTTTGAAAATCTGTCTGAAAGTTGTACTAACAAACCTCCATTGCTCTGAAAATGTGAAGTGACATGCCACTGTTCAATGAAATTCTAAAACTGCCAATTCACTCAAACTAAATTCTCTAAGTTTATACACATGTATCAAAAAAGAGGGAAAATTTATATAGTTAAAATAAACAAGAGATCTAGAGAATACAGGAAGAACTTGCAGTTGAGAGAACTCAGGCTGAGATTTGGTTGATACCTGACAACAATGACTTTTTGAGATGATCTCTGGTGAAAAGAGCCTAGTCAGACCAGATTTCACAAGACCCCACGAATACATGAATTCCCTCCCATACACTCATATCATGCTCTGCCAAATGAAAAGAGCTATTATGTGCTGAGCACCCTTATTTCAAACAGTAGCATCTTGTTTACCTAAAAGCCCCTTTTGGTAAAAGTAAAGGCTGAAATCCTTGTACACATCAAGATATTTCCGAAGAAGCTAGTGCATTGTATTGTGGCCTTTTGAAGCCTAATCTTGGAAAAGCCTGCTGTAGAACACAGCAAAATGGTAATACTTTCACAGCATTTTTTTTCCCTTAAGAGCAACAAGTTATCTGCAACCCAATATAAAAGCATATGAGTATCTACAGCTGAGAAGTCAGTCATAACATGCCTTCACCTACATAGTGACTGTACCTACATACTCTTCTGCTTCTGTCATTTTGTATAAACCATATTTTGTGCACTTAAAAACAGTCATCACAAGAACACACACAACAAAAATGTTGTTCTACAACAACATTTTTCACTGCATCTCTTATGTGTTTTATCAAACATGCCTTGCACCTTAAAGCATACTAATAAGCATCACCATTTATCACAAAAATACAGAAAATAATCGAAGCACAGCAAGGCAAATTTGATATCAATGCAGTATTATTAGTATAAACTTCTTCCCTTGTTAAAAACCAGACTCCACCACTCCTAAAAATACAGAGCATAAGAGTGCTCAGAAAGCAAATACCTTTTTAAAATCAGTGGTGGTTCTTATAAGATACTGCTCAGCATAAGCAAGGATAAAAAAAAGGTGCCTTTTTGATTTAACTGTGCAATGTCAGCTCTATCCGAAAAAATCAGAGCTGCTTAATTTCCAAATAAAAAAAGAAAAAAAAAGAGAGAGAGAGAGAGATAACACTGTTGCCTATAGTGATGAGCTGCCTTTGATAAGTGGGTAACTTCTCATCTTTGCACTCTCATCCTCTGCCTAAAGAGGCATTAAATTGGATTCATATGGCAGCAGGGTACCTTTGGCTATTTTGACTGCAGTAGCAATAAAGATAAAAGGGGATGTGGGGATAGACTTTACAAAAGTGCCCAGGAACAACGCAGGTCCAACTCACAGAGGATGTTTGGTCAGATTTTCAGTGCTGTAGAGGCATTCAAAAGACGTACACAGATATTAACCTCAGTGAGATTTTTCAAAAGCATAGCAGATAGTTTAGACATCAGTAAGAGTTACATGCTCTGGCTGGTAGCCAACTGCAGCTACCATGCTCAGCGATTAGTCATACTATTAATGGCACAAATAGATTCATTACCAGCCTATGCCACATATCCCTTTTCTTAGTTTATTGCCCAGCAACCCATTATAGTCCAGTCTAAATACCTGAACCAACCCTGAAAACTGAGTTTTCTAATTTCATGCATTATGAAGATATAAAATATTGTTCAAGTTTCTTCACAAAGGAGCTCAGAGCGGGTAATTTATTCTGCTTTTGTGTAAAACTCAATCACTGAATTAGGCAAAGGCACCAGCACCACAGTCCTTTGTGCGTTTCCCTGCAACGGCTGCAGCATCCTGCAGAACTGCAACGTGCGCCAACGTTTGGAAGAACCCTCTAGCCATCTTCACAGGCTTGGAGAGAACACACCACAGTGGCACACTGAAAAAAAAGTCTAGGCTTCTCAAAGCTGTAGTTTTTAAAAAAACCAAACAAACAAAAAAACCACTCCCCTTCTCAAGATTTATACATACATATTTTTGCATTATGCACTTCTAGAGGAATAACTGAGACCAAATAATTTTCTGTTATTAGAGGGGGAGAAGCATTAGCTTCCCTATCAGACCACTAACTTCCAAACTATCATATCAGAAAAAGTCCGAAAACTCTGTTCCAAGTAGACAACAAACCATCCATGAAGCAGCAACGTGCTGTTGTGGCCAAGAAGGCCAACAGAACCCATAGCTGCGTGAGGTAGAGTGTTGCCAGCAGGTCAAGGGAGCCCCTCTGCTCAGCCCTGGTGAGGCTTAAGCCTGGAGGATGTGTCCAGTTTTGGGCTCCCCAGTACAAGAGCTACTGGAGTGAGTCCACCAGGCGGCTACTAAGATCACTGGGGGACTGGAGCACATCTTGAATGAGGAAAGGCTGGGAGCACTGAGCCTGGAGAAGACTTGAATCTGAGCTTGGATGTAGAGAGGATGGGGCCAGACTCTTCTCAGTGCTACCCAGTGACAGGATGAGAGGCAACAGACACTCACCGAAATAAAGGAAGGTCTACCTGAACCTAAGGAAAGGCTGGGAAGGTGCCAGAGCACTGGAACAGGTTGGCCAGAGACATCATGGAGTCTCCATCCTTGTCCATGTGGACACAATCCTGGGCAGCCTGTTCTGGGTGACCCTGCTTGCCCAGGGGGGTTGGATGTGAGGATCTCCAAGGTTCATTCCAGCTTCAACAATTCTGTGATTTTGTGAAAGGATTTAAATTGCCTTGCACTTGTCTAGACAATTTTTGTTCAATTGCATGTTTATGTCTTTTTTTTAATAAAAGAAAAAGGATGTTGCTTCTTATGCAATTATGCTGCAGCAATTCATAAAGTGGCTACTGACTGCAGATCTTCCAAATCAAAGATGGAATGACTAAAGATTCCATTATTGTCCTTATATCAACAATAAAAGTGCTGGAATTTGTGCAAGGCCTCCCTAATCTAATTAAAAATGAGACAGTTCAAAACAGATGAACTAGCCGCAAGAACTGCCATTGGAAAAATACATCAGTAACATCTCAAAACCATCACACTAATTAAAAAAATGAATTTGTCCACATCTGCTTTAGTATGGATGTACCTCATGCTGGCAAGCACAGTCAACAGAGAGGGCACATAAGCCTTCTCCTACAAGTAAACTGCTTGAAAAGCATCAGTGTAGTTCATGGAATACAAACTAACAGAGAACCAAGCACCCAGCACACAGGCGGTTTACCCTGTAACTGGAGAATGTGTGTGGGAACACAAGGGAACAAAAACACCACCACCCAACACGGAAGGGAATTTGAATTTTTATCTGTGCCTGTTTTTAGTATTAGATAGATATTTACAACCATGATGCAACATTTAATTCAAGGATGGAAACAAAACTCCGACCTATATGCTCTCAAGTTCTCTTTTACTATCCAGTGATTCAGAACAGCTCCTGTTCCACTATTATCTTCCCATAGTCTTCAAAAGAACCAGCATTTTACCCCCCAGTATCAAAATTGTTTAATTCAGGAGTAATACAAGTAAAGAATGTACTTCTTTATCTTGCCTTTGTTATTAATTAAGTCTCATTTAGTGCTTCTGAATTGCTATTACTAAGTTGCACTGGATGAGTATGTTAGAAAGCAATGGAAGATGGATCAACAGCTGTAATTATTATGAAAATTATGGCAGCACATCAGAGGAACTGCAGCTGCTCCCTTCATGCAAATAAGAGCTACTTGACAAAGATTGTAATTATACAGTAAGTCAAGCAGCATAGCTGGAGTAAAAGTAGAGAGCAATATTTTAAAAGGTTAAAAGACTTTCATTGTATTATGTTCACGTTCCCTAAACTCCTATCTAGGGATAACAGGATCCAGTTTCTGTCAATGGACCCACAGAGACAAAGATCTACTAGGTCACACAGACACATTTGCCTGTTAATGCTTCAGCTGCTAAATGTGATGTTTCTTTGCAAGTTCACTAGCTATGCAGAACAGCAACAGTACTCGGACCAAAGGCAGAGCTGGATTCCAGTTGACTGAGTGCTGTATAGCCACAAAGATGCAGCCCAATCTACTTTCACTGGCTCAGTAGGGATAACATCTCCTCTACCCAAAGCCTGTTCTTGATACCTGGAACAGCATTGTAAAATTCTAGTTCATTCTGCTTAATATCACTTTTGAACATACGTATTTTGGCCTGTGCTAGGAAATTCATTTCTCACTTCAGGCACTAAGGCCCTCTTAAGGACTACATTTCTTTCTCTTAGACAGAAACTCAACTAAAAGTGCCTCAATTTTCAGAAAAGCTAAGTGCACTGCTTATCCTGTTACACTGTAAGTTGTTTGCACACTAGAAACTGAACAAACAAAGTGACATGTTATTGTTTCAGTTTCTTCCTGTCCCTGCTCTGCATTCAGACTTTTTAATTAAAGCTCTCTGTTTTTTGCTGGTTAGTTCATGCTGGCAAATTCATGCACTTGCACAGAAGAAAAAAAATGGAACAAATCTTCACTTGCTTTCTTTTGCCTCTCAAACTCTTGTGTCAAAAATTGTGCAACATTTAAGCACAGGTTACAAATAATAAACACCTAACTGTAAATCCAAAACTGAGAGAGTTTAATTAATGGAGAGTTAATTTATTTATGTTTATTTATGACAGCCACAAAAGGGACATACAGTTTTGCAGCCCTCCTACCTATGTTTTATGAAAAATTGGAACCACTTTTTCTACGACTTAAATTGTTGCTTAAGAGCATCACTGTTCTTTTTCTTCCCAGTGGTCCGAACTGTGTAACTTGACAGTTAATCTTCCCTCGGTACTATCAGGAAACCCAATCATTCTTCCTGTAAAGTCTATTTACAAAGCAGAGAGGCCCAGTTCCAAACACTATGGAAGTGAGGGACTTGACTCCTTCCTACAGCAATACCTCAAGCTTCCCCCATTTCATAGATATTCTCATCGAATCACTGACCCAACATGAAAGCAACTAAAATGTTTAATCTTACCTGAAATCACATGCTGTGGTAAGCTCTGCTCCTCCTCCAAGAGCTTTCCCTTGGACTAGTGCAACACTGATCAATGGCAATCTACACAAGAGCAAAATTTACACTCTAAATCTTTTTTAAACATCAAAAGCACTCAAGTGCACAATTTCTATACTAAAAGCTCAGCATACAGAAAACATACTGTTTTAACTCATTCACACAGCTGCACCTTTGCAGATTTAACTGCACACAGTCATTGCGCACAATGACGCTCCACTTATGCAAAAATGACTATTACCTAATTAATATGTAATCCTATAATGCAATGTGAAGACAGATCTAATGGGAGCACAGTAAAGCAAGTCATGCACTAGCTTGTGACATGTGCTACAGGTTATACCTAAAATGACCATCTGCAAGGGGGAATGAGAATTCTACCACCTCAGACATCAATAACTGCTCTTTGAAAAGAACAAACTGTGATTACCTATGATAGGGTTAAATTTAACCAAGGTAATTCACAGACTATAAGGACGACAGCAGGCAGGGAGAACCTCTTGAGGTGATCAGGAGTAGTCAACTTGGACTCACAAGGTGGGAATCATGCTTAACCCACTGGACAGCCTTCCAGGCTGGGGTGTCTGGATGCCGTCTACCATGACCTCAGCAAGGCTTTCACCACTGTCCCCCACAGCACTGGCTTCACAAGGATGCTCAGGAAGTGTGGACTCAGTGAGTGGACAGTGAGCTGGATTGAGAACTGGCAGAAAGGCAGAGCTCAGAGGGTTGGGATCAGTGGCACAAAGTCTACTGAGAGGCCTGCAGCTAGCGCTGCCACCCACGGGTGAGATACTGGGTCCAGTATTGTTCCATTTATTCATGGATGAATATTCAAAGGCTGTTTAGACACAGTCCTGAGCAAGGTACTGTAGGTGACCCTGCTTGAGCAGGGGGGTTGGACACGACAGTATCTAGACGTCCCTTTGAACCTCAACTATTCTGTGAATCTCTACTGCCACTATGAAATCAACTGTGAAGTCAACTTCACAATTTATTACCATATATTTGCTTTTCTTACCATATATTTTCTTTTCTTCATCGCAAACAATTTATTATGGCCCAAACACCCTCACCAGTTAGAGCACACTTTACACAGTACAGGGCACGAAGGTCCAAGTCCCTGTGTCTACACAGCCTGCTGTTTCCCATGCACTCGAGGAACCTCTTCAGAGTCACAGTGAGGCACAGCTCCCTCAGAGCTCCACAGCAGCCTCCCTCCCCAGAGCAATGCAGCACTGTCCCTTAATTATGGCTGCAAAGCAGTGCTTGCATACTCTCAGACAAGACACCCCAGGTAAGGCCTTAATTTTCATTTTTCCTCGTTTCCTGCATGCAGATTTTGATTATACAGAGGTCAGCTTACACAAACGACTTGCTCTTATCCTGAGCGTTCCTTACAACACAGTAACTACATCTCCGCTCTCCTGGGCAGCTTCACAGAACAATGTTAACTCCTGACATTTTCTCATATACACCATTTGGAAATGCAGAACATTTATCTTCAAGGAGCCCTAAGCAGACAAAAGGCAGAATCTGCCACACACGAATTTAATTGAAATGAGATTTCTTAAGGGAAGCTAAATATAAAGGAGGAAAAAAAATGATTTTGAGAAGTACCAGATGGTAGAATTGAACATATTCTTCTTACGAAGTGACAAGATTAAATATATTAATGTTACCTGCGTAGGCCGCATAAGCTGGCCCTGCTTGATTTGAGAGCCCAGTTGAATTCCCACTGAGTTATAGAAGTCAGAGCCTACAAAGATCAAGTTTCCTGGCCCTCCACCTATAAACCTATAGATTTTTTTTTCTGTTCCTATCTCCAGAAAGCCTAATAATTGTGAAATGTCAAGCTTGGTTTACATCCACAAATACCTACCTGATTCACATGTGCAAATACAAGGTCTGGTATTCAAATTTACATATTCAAACTGTATATTTAACTTTAAATAGCTCCATAAAGAGCTAGTCAAAACATACTCCAATCCTTATGATTATTTCATAAAGAAGGGAAAAGAAAAAATATATTACCTCATAAGTCTGGTTAAGGTATTTTGCATAAACATGCACATATTCATCCCATCCTATAAAAGACAGAAAAATCCCCAAATGTTAAGTGATCCTAATGTCATGCAACTAAATATAAAAACAGAGCAGATAGGAATATTCATTACATTTACTCCAGAAGGGTTTTTTGTTTCCTTCTTCTTCTAGCTTTTCCTGAAGCCCAGCCCAACCTCAGGATGCAATAACATAGGCCCAGTATAGACCAGGTCAAAATCAGAGCCCAATCCACATTTTATCATCTCAGTTATAGTTTAGCCACTACGAATATAATTGCCAAAGTGCTAACAAGCATTAAAAAATACCAAGTTTCCATGACATGAAGTTGCACATTCTTTCTTCTTCCCCTTCTCTCTCCTCCCACAAAAATACCCATAATACTCCATTTAAAATATGAGGCTATATTTTGCTGCATATATAAGACTATATTTTACTGCTTAAAATCTACAAAAAAAAAACAACTATAGTTTTTGTTGTTTCAGTCACAAGCATTTAATCTGAAAGACAGTCTTATTTCTCTCCTTGTTTTTGTTTTACATGAGCTTGCAGTATTCAGCTTGCAAACAATAGTGAATAAGGAACAATCCTTCCCTTCATTTCCAGTATAAGAATTACAGAGCTTCAAATAAAATCAGTAGCTGCCAGGTTCAAAAGCAAATGTATTTCTTCCCACAGCATGCCACTAACTGTGAAACACTTTACAGCGCAGTATTGCAACCTCTTAAATAATACATGGCTCCAAGAACAATTAGATAAACTTGTGACAGAAAGAAAATCTGTAACAGGTTATTAAATCCAAGGTAACATCTTTAGCTCCGGAAATCTGAGTCACAAATTGCTGAAGGCTAAGAGAATATTCTTAAGAAAAATCACTGTCTGCCTTACTTGTTTTTACACTCTTCTTCTGGCGTCCAGTATTGACCAGGAACAAAGACACATGAATAATGCAGTACGATCATGACCATACATACATTTAACTGCACACGTCATTTAATTCAGATTAAAAAAAATAATAATGTTTGGACACAGTGGAAGTAAAAAGCAGCAGATAGCAATTTCAGTTTGTCTTTCAAAAAGAAAATTATGAGGAGGAAGTACAAACATCTCTCTTGGTATTTACTGATTTTTAATACCCAACTTTAAGGGCAGGGGTCAATAAGATAATTAATTTACCTTAATTAAAAGCTTCTGACTCATATAACTGCAAATGAAGAAGCTTAATGAGCTTTTCCTGAGCTCTTCCAACAGTTAAGTCCAGAACAGGTCTTGACATCAGCAATATCCAAGCTCCCTGGGTTCCCAAGCACTACCCTGCGTGGAGTGCACAGCACCATTAGGGCACGCAGGACCGGGACTCTGGCAGGTAAAAGCTGCCATGGCCAGACTGTCACAGGCACCAAGGAATTCATTCAGCTTCATAACAGTAAAGGGCTGCTGGAAAATTCCTGTAATTATAATGTGGTTTACAAAGAGAGCCCTTATACTTAGCACTGTATCCACGTCCTACACCTATTAAAATCAGTTGAAGTATTTCCATTCTAAATTAAAGAAGGATCAAGTCCTCCAAAACAACTGCTTTAGTATTTCAGAATTGGAAGAAAAGCTTAAACCCCACAGGAAAGTAAAAAGTACCAATGCTGAGATAAGGCCTTGCACAGTTCTTGTACCGGAGCCATCGGGAGGCAGCCGAAGCCACGCTCTGCAGATAAAACCTGCTCTCACCCAGCACAAAACAGGCCCTGCATTCAAAACGGCCACTTCAATTCACACCAAACTCAAAATGGTAATTGCAGATTAATGCTGGAACGGATCAGCTTGATAAATGCAGTTATGAGTGAACGGACAGAAATAAAGGTCTTCCTACTCTCAGGTGGCGGGAAGATTAGCCTGCATCACATGGGAAAATGACTGTGCAGAAAAAACTACCCTGAAATAAGAAATAAGCACAATTACTTGAGTCCTGGCCAATATATACTTCAAGCCTTCCTGATAAGAAAAATAAGGCTGCTTGAATATTTTATCTGAGCAAAAGGTTGTCACTGGAATCCAGTGGAATAATCATATTTTTCTATAACACTGTCTGTGGAGTAAAAAGGAAGCTAACACGCAGAAAGCGAGGCAAAATCCAGGTTTCCATACACGCTGCATATGGAAGAAGAGATTAACAGCTTGGGTGGAGGTGGGGAGGGAAGGAGGCAGGGGAGAGGAGAGTCGCTTCCCCATGAGGCAGAACGGCAGGCCACGCTGGTGGCTATTCTGCTGCCAAAGCAGAAGGGTTTGCTCACACCAAGAGCGGCTCCACAAAGCAGCTCCCACTGCACAAGAGGCCACTGACACTTACTGCTCAGAGCTGCTGCCGTAGAGCGACAGGAGATCCAGGGATCAACCACTTTTTGCTTAGTTAGCGATTTGAGTTTCACTCCAGAGTGCGGCGACTGCGCTTGGGAAGCAGGGTTACAGGGGCACATTTAGTTATTTATGTTCAGTTTCACTCTTAATTTGCCTGCTGCAAGCTGGTCACCATTTCGTTAGCGTGAGGAAGAGCAGGCAGGGTGTTTGGGTTTGTTCTCAGGTCAGGCACAAGCCTACACCAGAGGAAGAAGAGGAGGAGGAGCCACTAGAGGGCATGAAAATCCTTCAGTATCCTTGGCCATCAACCTGCCTTTCCTGCCCATCAGGAAAAGCCAAAGCATTACATCCCCCAAAACACAAAAAGAACAGTCAGAGGAGGAATAAAAACAAAAGTTTGGGGTCACTCATAAAAGAAATGAGCTAAAGCAGCCTTGCCAAAAATGAAAGGAAAAAACACACTGGTTCAGGCACAAACCTCACCCCTTTCTGCCTTACGGCACCCCCTGCGCTGAAAACCTGACCTGAAACCAGACAGCATTCACTCACCTGCAGCATGCTACAGAGCAGAGTTCTGCAGCTCTGGAGTAAAATAAATTCTGTGCTTTACTGAAGTTCAAATTAATAGCAACTGTTAACTCCTATCAAACAGATGACTTAGGGGTTGCCATTACATATAAATTCTCACTTTGTGATAAATTATAGGATCATAGAATCATTAAGGTTGGAAGGGACCTCTAGAGGTCATCTAGTCCAACCCCCCTGCACATGCAGGGTCACCTAGAGCACGTGGCACAGGACTGCGTCCAAGCGGGTTTGAGGATCTTCCAGAGAAGGAGACTCCACAACCTCTCTGGGCAGCCTGTTCCAGTGCTCTGTCACCCTCACTGTTAAGAAA